GCGAATAAGCGCCCGGGCGCTTAAAATATTTTTTGCACTTTCTGAGGGGCGCTTATTCAAATGGGGCGCTTATGAAAACAGAGTGGAAATTGAGGGGGGCGATTATGGAAATAGATGAAAATCGAGGGGTGCTTATGGGAAATTATTAAATTCAAGAGGCACTTTTAGAATGAAAAAAGATTTTTTAGGCGGAAAAGATAATCGTCCAGAGAACATGACTCATAACAAAAATGCGTGAATATCATAACAGCAAAATGATGGTGGGTAGTGGCTAGCTTGTTGGCCATCGGCCGATTGAGATTAGCAGGATGGCAGGATCATTGTATTTTTTTCTTGAAAACTCAGATGAGAATGTGCTAAAGGTCGGAAAAAGAAAAAGAAGAGTAGGACTACGCATAGACAAATATCTGTAAAGTTGGAAATATACTGTCTGTCCATGGATCGGAGCTCTCAACAGTCCAAGAGAAATATCCTCATTTTGATATTGACCTAAGAAGAATGTGTTTCCACTCTGCAGCTCAAATCATACCAACAACCACAGTCCCAGGATTGATTAGATTATTAATTTGCTAAAAAAAATTTCTTAAATTATTCAAACAGGGCGCTTAAAGAAATTTTCACGTTATTCGAGAGGGGCGCTTATTCACGCGAGTACGGTAATTATACCGATGACTTCAGATCCAAAGATGATAAGATATTGAAATACGCAGATGACACAGTTATCATAAACTTATGAAATTCAACTCTGTGTCTGACTATGTGAATACTGTCGCAATATTCTCATTGTGGTGTAAACAAAACTCTTTAAAACTACATGGACAAAAAACAAGAAAACTTATAATTAACTATAGAAAAGGCGAAAATAAAGTTGTATAGGGATACAACATTATTTTCGCCTTTTCTATAGTGTTTTGTTGTTTACATTGTTGAGAATGAGACTGTTCCTCATCATAAACAGTGGCGTAACGCCTATGCGCTCTCATGCGGCGGTCCGCAGGGCCCCCGAATTCTAGGGGCACCGAAGGGGCCCTACCCATAGGTTCCTCGATCTAGCACCCTGACCAAAAAGGACTTTGTTGATAAATAAAACCATAATGTGTCTCTGAAATTGACTGTAGGGCACATATTATATTATAATAATTAAAGGAAGGTCCCTTCGCCCCGACAGGACCTACTCTCGGCCCGGGACCCCACCAAATTTGCTTTAAAAAAATAAATAAATAAAAATGGAGATAAAAAAAATATATATTCACAATTTGAAGTCTGTGATTGCCATTTCTGGCCATCAAGACTTGCCATAATACATTTTCTAATCTCAGCCCCACAAGGGCAACGGCATAATGTGTGTCTGACAGTGGTGTAACGATGGGGCCGGGGCCCTGTGTATTTCTGAAACTGGGGGCCCTTTTTGGGTCCCGGTCACCAATACCATCGTGAGATTTTAGGTGTGCATTGTTATTTTAATTTTTTTTAACGACGAATAAATGATATAATATGCGTTCAGAAAATTGAGGCCATGGAGGGACTTTCAAAATCGGAGATTCTATACCACCTCAGACCCACCATGGTTGGGACTGAGGTAAGAAAATTTATGAATATGGCACCTTTAGATGGCCGGAAATGCCACTTGCAAGGCGTCGATCCGTGGTTAAAAGTGTTGGGGGGGGGGGGGAACGAAATGTAAAATAAACGTCACTGATCATAAATACATGTTTAGAGATTGATAATAAGTTAAACTGGAGGAAAAAGTTTGTGATAAAATAGATAAGAAGGGTAGCATGATGCGTCT